TGCATTCAGACCACAGAAATCTCCCGATTTAATCTGGCCACTGGCGGAAACGCGAACCTCACCCGTATGGACCGCATTCTTTCACGTTTTGAGCACTCTAGGGCCCTGAGTGCCTCTCTTTGCTTGGGCAGACTCATGGCTAAACGTGGCGATTCCTCTGTCAAGAACCTCCCTTCGTACGCCTTCCCCGTGGCCGTGGTGCGAGAACTGAGTCGCCGGGGTACCCTTGTGGCTGCAGTCAGTGGTCGCACCGACGTCCAGCTCATCCGTCTCCTTCGGTTCATTCGGAAACATGCTTGGCTTCCTGACGCTCTGCCTACTTGTGTCCTCCTTTACCGCACAATAACTGGTAGGCTGTTGTGTCTCTGTTTTCATCATAATATACCCCTACAGGGCTTCCCGTAATCCCCATGTCAGCGACAACTAACAGCTAGACACAGTGCTCCCCTCGTCGTGAGTATCCATATTGTTCCATTTAGCCACGACTTGGTACAATCGGTTTCTTGTAGTGAAGGAACCAATCGTAGGATCCTGTTGGCATGACCTCTTGTTCTTGCCAGCAGCAGGTCAGAGTAAAGGCAAGTGGTTGCGGGAACCCACGTGGCGCGAAACCGAAGTCTAACGCATATCATAGGTTTGTGGTGCCCGTTCAGGTCCGACGAACTAGCTTAGGCTGTTGTTTTTTTTAGCCGGCTTCTTGCAACACTAACTTTCCTACATGGTGTAATGTGGGAGGACATTTTGCTCAGTCGGTATGTGAGCACGTGTGGCCTACATGTACAGTCCACCCACACATTTGGGGTCAAAAGGCAAGCTTTTACTGATTGCCAAGACCGCCATGTACAGTTCTGCGAGTGCTGCACGCAAATTTCCTAAATTTGTAAATGTTTGATTTTTTCTCCCATACCAACGAAAACGCATTTAGGAAAACTTATAAATAATAATGAGCAACATTAGGCATATTAAGTACTTAAAAGAACTATAAGAAGTACTAAGTGTTTGGGCAAAAGTAGCTTATGTAGCCCCACTCATATACCCCTAGTCCCAGGACTTTGTCCTGTGAAAACGGTGGTTATAGGGTTTTGGGGGCTAGGGAAATGGGATAGGCAGAGAAGAATTTTTTAGAAGTAAGCGTAAAGTGAAGAAATGTAGTCGAAGTTGCTTCCCGCGGCCACTGGGAGCAGGTTGCTCCGCATGTAAATTGAAGGTGTGCGCGGCTCTTCGCG